ATTTCAATCCCTACTTTGGGAGTTTATTTTATTAGTTTCACAACAGTTGGGTAATAATCAAATTTAAATCTAGAAGTTTGCAAATTTAGGTAAGGTAGTACTTTATATCATTCATCAACTACTGACTATAGAATATCTTAGGGCTTGTTTGGAATGTGAATTTTTGTAATAAAATTTTAGGAATATTGTGTTTATACTTTTTTTTAAAATTACCTCATTATGTGACATATATCACGTGTTATAGTAAGTTCTTTTTATAAAAATTCCAAAAAAATTACAATCCAACTGGGACCTTAGAATCCAAAATTCTCGATGGATTTCAGAAGATAAATTCCTTACACGGCAATTAGCTTTCGTTCCAAGATTCACTGGGTACGTTATTCCTTTCTTCTTCTTTTTTTCTTCTCTTTTATAAACAGGAAGGAAATGGATAACAAATTGATGCTATAATTATACCAGTTATAAATACATACTGAACAAAGGATTTCGAAAGAGAATTTGGGTTATTCTGGAGAGAACCAATTTAACTAGTTAAGAAAAAGGATATATTACAGAATTATTATATACCATCATTGAACCAAGATATTATCATATAAACATGCAAATTCTGGAAGCAAAATGTTGATCCATGCGAAAATGCATTCTTAAAGATAGAAACATAAAAAAATGACGACATACTAATTTTTTTCAGCAGCATAGGTCAATGCAAATGTATATACTTCTCGTAAGATGGTTCTCTTGTTAAATTCTCGGTGATATTTAGTTAGCCTCTTCTGCTGCACATACAATAAAGATTTTACTCGTCAGAATAAGATTTGGGCTGTTTAGAAAGACCCTAATCCTAGACTAGGCGAATAAAGTGGTGATATATAAGATGAGAAAATGACCCTAATCCTTGTTTTCTTGTTCTTTTTCTCCATCCTGCCCCGGTTTGTCAAAGACATAGCTTGCAAGTTGCAATCTTCACTCGCGTTTTTTAGCAATGCTATTCTTTTTACCTTCAGATTATACATTATCTCATTAAGGAGGATGAATGGTTCACTTTTAATAATAGGATTAGATCCAATTGATGCTTCCTTATATTCATGGTAAGGTCTGATGTGCTGACAGTATGGCAATCATGGTTCAAAGTCGCGGTCGCGGCCCGGAACGTTCCACATCGGTCTCAGCATATCGGTCGCGGTCTCAGTGAGACGCAAATTTTAAAGTATTTAATATTCTAAAAATTGTTAATAATATAAAAAAAGTATGCTAAACAAAAATAATAAAAAATAGCAAAAGAAATGGCCGAGTCAATCCGTTGCGGTGTAACTCGGTTGATTTCTCGTCTTGACTCGGGATAACTCGGAGTGACTCGGTGTGACTCGGCCGAGTCAATCCGTCGCGGTGACGTCTCGGCCGATTTCTCGGCGAGTCAAGTATCTCGGTATCGTTTCGTCATGATATCGTATCGGTAGGGGCCGAGACGGTGACGACTCGGCCGAGACTTCGAACCATGTTTGTAACCACGGTTACAATGGAATGAACAAGAAATAAAAATGCTCAACAATGTTTCTACTTATTAAGAATTTACCTGGTATCCATCATCACGAACGGTTTGTGGGGCTCATTCTGGTTAGATCTCTGTATTCTAGTCTTCGTGACAGAATTCGAATGAGAAATTGTCAGTTTCTTGGGGTTTTCTTTTGCCAGTCTATCTAGCATGTTGGCAATACGTGAAAGAAGTTCAAACTTTTAGGAATAGCACGTCCAGATGATTCGAAATCCTCAATGCCAAAGATTTTTTGTTTGCTTTCTACAATGTCATGATGATTCTTAATGAAACTTGTCCTTTGCTTCCAATGTAGCAAAGCTATCATGCTAGCTTGCATATCAGAGCTTTTGCATTATTAATTTAAGGAGAATACCCTGGCCTCTATGGTGTTCCATCTTTCTACCCATGAAGCTTTGATGAATTCTTCAAGGATGCTGAATCCGATGATTCTCTGCAAACATTTATTCATGTAAAAGTAATATTCAACTGCAGAAGTAATTTATCACTGGATCGTAATTTTGGTGATTCCTTATCGCTTCAATTTCCATGGAAAAGAGCCTGATTCTCAAAATTGCAGTAATTGTCTACTGGCACTTATGTTGCTATAATTCCTTAACCATCACTTCACTCCTGTGTTATAAAATTCACTCAATTGTGTTCGTAGTCAACTTTTTCTTCCGTTAAGGTGAAAAGTGTCTGTCTTCTGCCGACGCGATTTTACAAGCAGAAACCTTATCCTTTGGGGGTGTCTAATCATCCTCAACAATGCCGCAAAGGATAGGGAAGTTACCAGGTCCATACATTTATACACGGCTGTTGGCTAACTTAATATGAAATGACAAGACGGGCCTGCAAAAACTCACTTTTGGCTGTCAAATGTCTTCTTCTACCTTGGGTGATCATGGACCACAGTGCAAGATTTTTTTCATCTTTAAACTCTCATTTTGATGGAGAGTCCTTCAAAATTTGATAGAAACTGTGTACTGTTTGGTTCATAAGACATTTTCTCATGTGCCTGAGACTAATAATTTCCAATCAGAATATTTTGCAAGTATGTGTTAGCTGACCAAACTATCACCATCTTTTGTCCAAAACCGCAAAAAGAGATCATTTAAGGGGCAGTTTGCCAAGAACTACAGAGAAAAATCTGTTTCTGTCAAATGAATTGATCACAAACTAAAGTAACAACTACTGACATAGTGCCCAATGCCTTTGCTAGTAAGGAGCAAGGACTACAATCATCATAATTGCATTCTCTGTAGCGTTTCTTAGGTGCACGGCCATCTATAAACCAAAATGAAGACACTTCTACTGTTGGAAATAAAATAACGGCCATCTATAAATCATCGTTAATCTACATCGGCGTGCATTAATCTCCTTGATTTCACTGTTATAAGGAAGCCTATTATGCCAAAAGACTGCTGTTAAATTACTATAATTATGCCACAAGTAGAAACTCCTAGTCCATTTGGAACCTTATAAAGAGCAATCTAGCTCATTTTCTTCCCTTGGATTCTTTTTGCATTTACAGAATATGCTTCTCAATCCTAGCCAATTCCAAACAAAAAGGGACAATTTGTATTTGTCGATTGAGAACGTACTCAATCACATGCATGACAACCCATAATATGTCCTTTCTTTCGTCAAATTTTGCATGCATGTGAAATGCTTCAAGGCATATCCCCAATGGTCCAGAAATATCCATGCCATCACAGTCTTATAAATTCAGCATACATTCTCAACATCACAATTCTCCACCACTTAATCACATATCCACATTCCTCTCTTGTTAAACTCAATAGCTAGCAGAAATGTTGATACAAGCCCTCTTTATCTTTTCACTCCTTGTTGCCTCAACTCAAGCTTTAGACTTCTGCGTAGCGGATCCTTCATTGCCTGTTGGACCTGCAGGTTACTCTTGCAAGAACACTGCTGAAGTCACAGTTGATGATTTTATTTTCAGCTTAGCAGCTCCTGGCAACACTTCTAACATCATTTCTGCGGCAGTAACCCCTGCTTTTCCACCCACGTTCCCTGGTGTGAATGGTCTTGGCATTTCAATTGCCCGTCTGGATTTCGCTGTGGGTGGTGTTATCCCATTTCACACGCACCCTGGAGGATCTGAAATCCTTGTTGTCATACAGGGGCAGCTCTGTGCTGGCTTCATTTCTTCATTGGAGAATAAAGTCTATTTCAAAACTCTTGTAAAAGGAGATGTGATGGTATTCCCACGAGGGTTGCTGCATTTCCAGTTTAATTCCGGGAAGAGTCCTGCTCTAGCTTTTGCTAGCTTTAGTAGTCCTAACCCTGGTCTTCAAGTCACTGACTATGCATTCTTCAAGAATGATTTGCCAACTGAAATTGTTGCCAAAACCACTTTCCTTGACATTCCACAAATCAAGAAGCTCAAAGCAATCCTTGGTGGCACCAATTAGATTACCGTGAAGTTGTTTAGACGGAATTTGGAGTCAGTCAATTAGTTCGTTCTTTCACAAAGCTGTGATCCATTTTATGTTGCTCCTCTGTTTTGCAGTTCAAGTACTTTTGTTTTAAGGTCAGGATTGAAGTCTCTAAATAATGAGAATGAGTTAGTGGAGTAGTTATCCGCAGTTCAGTCTCCGGTGGTATTTCAGCTGTCCTAATGATGGCTTTTCTCGTATTTCCTCTTGTTGTCAATCTGAAACTCTCATGCCGAAATCTGCCTGTTCTGGAAATGAAATTAAATGTGATGTTGTCGTAAATGAATTCGGGATTGAAGGAGTACATTTGATTTTTATGCAAGTATATTCACGCTGTGCTCTTCTTCATGCTAGGCCTTTCTTGTTTTCCTTTTGCGCCCCTAATGTTCTCAACTATTCCGATTTTGCACCCTTAGCATTTTTTTACCTTAACCAAGACCATTTGCAATGTCCCTTTTGCCCATCAAATACACATTAAAATACTTATATAGAAGGACGAACTTGTAAAAGTCACATATCTTCTTTCATCCTTTCGTACTCAAAACTCCCAAACGTAGCACAGGAGGACCTAACAAGTTCTCTTCTTTTGTTGCCCAACTTGTACTTAATCTTCCTTCTTTTCTTGCCTAAATTTTGCAAACCAGGCTTAAAATTTGCCAAAGCGATTAGTTTAGTCCAATAGCAATTTGAAGATACGGTCCTCTAAAGTTTATCTTATATTACTAATCAACCCCCGAGGCATGACCAAATTATAAACAACCCCTTTTCATTCACAGCAGATGGAGAGAGCAGAAAGATTTTTCTAAACGACCAAAATATCCTCATGCTTTTACCTTTTAGGGAAAAAAAATAAGAAAAGATAATAACAAAGAAAAATTGTTCTACAAATTGTTTCAAGTAAAATTTTATGAGCTCCAAGCAGCAGATTTTAAGTGTTCCTGATCGAGTTCTCTTGCGTGATACAAACATAACAAGTTAAGAAGATGGAATTTACTCGAAGAACGAAATTCAGGAACAGTTGTAGTATCAATCAATTGCATATTCTGCATCCAGCAGCGGTAGTAAAATAAGTTGTATGAGTTTTCCATTTTCCCAATTCATGCAAGTGTCTGTACTTGGTACATGGAAGTCAGCAACTTACATATCAATTACCAAAAGTCATCCGCTGCAGGATGTGTAATTAATGTAATGTGCAAGTATTGTGTGGTGAAGAGTATGCTTCAGAACTGTGCGATGAGCTGCCAAATTTAGCTGAACTTGAGGAGCGCAAGTCATCACTGATCCAGTTTGCACTTGAAATGTTGGCTAAATGAACTTCAAACAAATCTTTAAGCCATTCACCCTTAAGGAGCGTTGTATCAGTCTCTGGCAACAGCCCTTTGAAGTGTTCAATACAGAAACTAATCAGCAAAACCTGTTGAGTCGAACCTCTTCTATCTTTCGTGGTTTTTTTCACAAATACAGCCAGGAAGCGGATTTGCATAAAAGCTCTCTTCTAGCTTTGGGAATTCGCCAGGCTCCCTTGGATAGGGGGCTCCAATGCGATCCTTGTGAAGTTTTTTTACCTTAGAACTGAATTTTTTCCAGGACATTACCCCTTCATCAAGATCATCAACTAACTTTACAAATTTCATCCTGCATCCGGAAAATCAGAAGGCATTAGTTTAGCATAACTAATTATAGTAAGTCGACATAATTTATATCCAATCAGCATGAGGCATTTTAACACCAGGCAATTTTGGATTTATGCCAAGTGCAATAACAATTGCACATCATACATAAGATGAATCCAACCCTCAAGTGCCATAAGAAACCCATTCTGTTCCTAACAAAATTCTGAGAAGGCTCTGCACCTAGAATCATTACCTGTCTGGATTGACAGTTTTCTTGAAATCCTCAAAGCGCCGATGACCTTGTACTGCTTTTGCCATATTACCATCATAGGTGTATACAAAAACATCACTCTCAAGAGCAACTACATAGTCCAACCCAGCTAACATATTCTGGTGATTTCTGAAAGGATTTAGTTCTTCCTCAGATGATAAAGTCAAATGGGAGAAGATATTTGGGAAGCTCTCCGTGAGATATTGCATACTCCCATTTCCATAAGCTTCACCAGCAACCAAGTAAATCCTAGTGTTGGATGGATATCCTAGCCCCTGAAGCAAAAGGGCCGTCTCCCTGGGTGTCAAAGGGCATCCACCAACCTTTCTTCTCTCTACTGCATCGATCTCTTTTTCCTTCCAATGGCTCACCTCGTATCGCATCTTACGAAGTTCCTCATCTTCTTCTGCTGTCAAATTGTGACTGCATCCTGTGAAAGCCAGCATATCCTTCTCATATCTGACACAACAACAGATAACGGTTAACATGTAGTATGGGAATTAAAATCTATAACAAGTCACTAAGGAATTCAACTAGAGCACCAGATGCCATTCAGAATAAAAGCGAAATGATCTAAAACAATCAAAGGTATTGGTGTTGGCATACTAGTATTTTTGTTTTCTCATTTGGACCATCATATCAGCATCTTTCTTCCAAGCCCACAAAAACCAGTATCAAATGTGCAAAAGGATTTGTTAAATTGTCAAATCATTTGAAGAACAATATCAAAGTTTTACATTCAATTTCTGTTGAAATGCAAAACGAATTAGAGGAATATAAAATCATTCAAGTTCCTAAGCAAAAAGAGAGGAATAAAACCCTTCAAGTTTCCTAACCAAATGAGAGGAATATAATCATTCAAGTTTCTTGAACTGGCATATAAAGGTTACCGCAGCTAGAGTTTAGTAGACTGTACGATAACTACACTCCAAAAGTTCAATGTCTGGATCTCAAACTTCAAAACAGCAAGCAAGTCTTAGAGCATCAAATTCCCACAAGTCATTTGTGACCACCATGACAAACCTCAAGTGGAGAGCAAGGTAAGGACTTCCATTGTATCGTATTCTTGACACGAAAGTTTTCCCTAATTCTTCAATTTGGGTTGAGTACTTCAAAGCTCTATAATTCACACGGCATCTTAGCTTTTGTATGGAGTTTGGAAGACCATTGTTGGCAAGCCGGGAATCGGTATGAGTAAAGTAGATCACTTTATGCTGCTTCAGAAGTGGGGCAACTTCTGACTTGTAATAGCTGACCTGAACAAGGAAAGTTTTGAGCATAAGATAAATAGAAAACACAAAAAAGCCATCAATACATGGCAAAACATGTGCGGAACAAAGTTTTCCAATATACTTTGAGCTATAGTATTAAACCGTATATGGGACCTACAAGTTTACAAGCATGCTACAATAAAATCTTAGGCATTACAGCAGGCATGCTTGTTGCTAGAGGTGGAAAAGGTTCACAAGGACTACCTTAGACCAGGAAATGGGTGTTTTGTTGAACGGTTCAATTCCAGCATATTCAGGTGGTAGTGCCTCAACTATGTGAATATCATCTTTCAATGTCTGAATAAAGTGTTCCCAGTCAAATAGATCTTTAAAGCCACTGCACAAAGACAAGAAAAGCAAATCATAGGAAGTTGTTAGCAACTGTTGATCTTCCATTAAGGCATTTAAGTGCTATTAATGTATGGTACATGTTGAACCAATGCAATGGACATATTTTGAAGCTCTTGTATCATAGAGATGTACACTTCTTAAAGCTGAAATATATTTTGCTATCTTTCCTTGTATACTATTTTAAGGTGGTCAAGGTGTAATAATTTTACATGAAAACCAGTTTTATGTCTCATCTACTGTTCGTTAACAAGTATATCAGGCAGACATACCTTGTGAGTAACAGGATGATGCTAAAAGAATTTGATTACTAAGAAACACAAATCAAATACAGCATTTGCAACTGGTTAAATGCATTATTTGTGCTATCTTATACACTGAATGAGTGGAGGATGATTGAAGGTACCTCTCGTCAGCCCAGTAAGAAGTGTGATCGAGGGAGGGAAGAACAAGAGTTGCCTTCATGACTTTAGCAACAGCAACCATGTCACAGATCTGCACTCTAGAAATACTTGTTTATCAGATTAGTTCATTATGTTCTTCAGCAAAAGTCATACAATCATTGAATAAGAACCAGACCCCAAATCTCATCTGATTTAAGCCACCATTTGCGTTTATCAGAAGGTAACCATTCGTCTTTTCGTCCAACTCTGTTCATGAATCAGAAAAGCAAGATAGTAAAGAACAAATGGAGTATGTGCAACATCAGAACAAAATCAAATTCAAGAGAAAGCCATAGAGCTATACTTTTGTGTTTTGACTGATCAATGCACTGAATATAATTCTCACTATCTGGCTTGGCCCATATACCTGAATGCTGAATAATTTTCACTCAGAAATGATACGAGAAGATTATGCAAAAATAAAATTGGTCAAACAAGATTTGGTGCTCACATCAGCCATTCTAGGTACCGTCATTAGAGTCCGGTCATTATCATTTTCTCTGCCTGCATTTTCATTAGCTCCTGTTTGATATCCATAGTCATGAGCCCCTTCATCTCTCACATTATAAGCAGTGTCTGGATTGTCATAGAAATCCTAAAAAGGAAGTTAGAGCCATTAAACCACCGTACCACTGTTATTTCTATAATAAAGGCAGTGCACAACATATATGCTAGAACACATGAACCGGGTATGAGAAAACAGGAACTCGCATTCTCCGTCAGATGCATTAGCAAACCTAAAATCAATGGACCCTATTATGCAATAGACTACTTAAAATAAGAAACCGAAGAGTGCCACGCTACAATATAACCAACCTAACTTCAGTAGGAAAAGAAATTGACATAACTAATCTGTCATTCTTTTTACGTATGCAAGTAAACGAAGACCTTCCTAATCACGCAACCAGTAAATTCTTAGCTTACTCTTAACACCATCATCTAAAAAGCAGTAGTATTTAATTATTCCACTACTACGAAGTAAAAAAGCTTGGTAAGAGCACAAAGAAAAACCAAAAAATTATATACATCATAAATCCACGAATCCGATGCCAATGATCCATACAAGAAATGGATTTAGTTCAAGCGAAATGAACCAACCTGATTGGACCCAACTCTGTCAATTGCAGATCCAAACCAACCACTGACACAAAATTTCAAAATTCCCAGAAACAAACAAAGCCCGCAAAACAGAAAAAACATCCACTGCCCCCACTTCACCTTCCCCTTCAACTCCAATCCCAACCCAAAGTCCATACCAAAAGATCCAATCTTTCTCTTCGAATGCACTCTTTGAGTCAAATTCCCCAAACGGGTCTGCCTCTTTTCCACCGAAGAATCGAACCCATCTCCAGAGTTCGCATTCGAGTAGTTTTCAGATCTGGGCGAGTTCAGCTGAACATTAATCTCGTGAGAGCTATTACTATTGTTGTCTTTGGTTTGGGAGCTGTGGTCGCTACCATTGTCCCTGTTGTTATTGTTGTTATTTTGACGTTTGAAAGAGGTGGCTCTGCGAGTCATTGGACCGGAGAATCGAGGGCTATTGACTCGCTGAGAAACTGCGCCATCTGCGGCGGCTGAGTGGTGGTGGTGGTGGCTGTGGTTGTGATGCTGAGCCATCCCATGTAGTAGGGATTAGCACAGTGTTTATCTTGCCCACGATTCTTGCAGAAGCGTTTCCGAAGATAATGTAGTGAATCAGTGATTCGGTTTCAGTAGGATCGTCGATGGGATCAGAAAAAAGTTTATGAGATCGATTAGTTAGTAGTAATGGAGTGGGCAAGTCACAGGACGAAGAAAAAAGGAGAGCATGGAGTTGAACGCGGCAAGGGAAAAAAAAAATTTCTGGAATAAACAAAAAAATGATTATGATTGGTGCTTTGATTTTTGGATCAGTGTCACTTGTTACTCATTGTTAGTGTAGGACCTAGCTTTTGTATTCACTATCATGCATTCTACTTTTCAATTTTCATATACTTACTAGGAATACAAGCCAAAATATAGTTGGATAATTGCAATCAAAATTGGATAATTACTTTAATATAAAAATACTTAAAAGAGCTTTGATCTTCTTTTCCTTTATTTCCACAAATACACGCAACTTATGAATTCGTGACATGTTCGAGCTTGTACACATATGTATATGAACTTTGAAATTATCTAGGAATCAACTTGACCTCAAAAAAAAAAATGGTAAAGATATTACGTTATCAATACTGATGACGAATTGTTTATGTGTTTGTTTATTAACATATGATGGTTTCAGATGTTTTTTTATATATATAAAAGTGAAACTAATTTAGAAAAATATTAGATGCAGAGGACGTGAATATGTGAATCACATGATAAATTAAGTATAATTTAAATATTTTAAGAAGTACCTTGGAAGCAATCCTTTGAATAATATATTATTTAGTACAGCAAACGCAACATCAATTAGTTAGTGATAATTTACTTTGAAAAAATGTTATTTGCACCCACGCCATTTGTTTATTTTATAATTTAATCAATGAAAACTATATGATTAAAGTAATAATAAGGAAAGTGTGACTAACAAAAATAGAATTTCCCTTTATTTATTTATTAATGATTGACTTTTGGCTCTAAAAAAAAACAAGATAATCTCGACTTTGAGAGCTCACATAAGCTAAGCTTGGGAGACAGATGAGTATGCACGCTTTCGAATTTTGGTAAGATAATGTTCATTTTCTCTTTTGAGAAATAGATTCTTTTGTTTTATTCATTTGAAAAAAAAGGTTATTACATCTGAATGGCAAAATTTCTACAATTCTTTCCCTTTTTTTATTTTTGGGTAAAATCTTTTGATTTGGAAGAAAATGCGAGAAAGATACAAATGTACTAGATGATGCTGATTAGACTTGAGAATCTCACGTTAATTTAAGAAAATGTTTCAAATTGATAATTTCCATTCTACCAGCAACTTTGCCTTATTTTATTTTATTTTCTAAAAATCACCTAATTAGAATGACACGCCTGGGGTTTAGATCTATCAGCATTTGAGCGGGCTTGGATAGTCTCCACGATTTCTTCATCTTCTTTTTTTTTTTTTTTTTTTTTGGGTAATTCATGTGGCTCTTTATTTATTTACTATTTATTTAGTTCTAAATCTTGTGCAAGATTGCGAGTTGTGGGCTGCGCATACACTTATCAATGGGACCATGAATATTTATTCTAATTAAAGCCCAAGAAAATAATTGAATTAGTCAAAAAATAAATAAACTAGATAGAATCAACAGCTTGTGCTTTCTTGATAATGAGCCGTTCCATAAAACAAGTTTTATATGTCATTTTCTTCAGACTCCATAATAATATAGTACTAATACGCCGGTGATGGAATAGAAGTCCTCGTCGTTGCCTGTGACTGTGAGAAGTTTTAAGAAATAAAATAATAATGAGGAATGACAAAATCTGCTACGTTTTAAGTTAATCTACCATAGTAAACTAATTTATATGATTACTAATTGAGTTGATGCTGAAGTAAACCCACAAGTCAAATCCAACCATACAGGTCTAATCCCTCTCTAATTCTTTTACTAATATTCTTAGAATTATTTAATGCTTGGGTCACCGTCGTTTATCTGTTTTTTTCCATGACGGGAATAATTGATTCAACCATGCATGCAAGAAGCTCTTGATTTTTTATTTATTTTTGGGTAAATAAATAATCCCTAGTTCTTTGGTTAGAAAAAATAAAAACCATTTGATTTTCCAGTGCATTTCCAGTTGGCGCCGCCACATTTGTTGACCGTAAGAACATTCAACTCAACTGTGCCTGAATGGTCCTCTTTCCACCTGGCTTCTTTTGACAAAATCTTTTTGGGTATTTTTATTTTTATTTTTTCCTGCATCTGATGATATTTTCGTGTAATCAATTACCGAGTATAATTCTATATGTACTTTGTTTTTTTTGACAAAAGGAAAAAATGCATTTTATTGCAAGGGTTGCTGAAAATCGTCCGAAGATATAATCATATAACTACTTCCTTGTTTCAAGTTTCAACGATACATATAACGCAAATCTTCGACTTAATCAAATTAGTTCCCAAACTTTTTTCAATTTCAATATACAAATCATAAAAGTTTTGCCAACAATTTTTCAATTCATCACTAATCAGCTTTAGAGAGAGCAATGTGGATGACCAATCTTTTGGGATTCTTTTATAAGACTAACGAGCCTTACTACATAGGTCTTGTTCTTGATTGTTTTAGACAATTATAGAAACTAATTGTAAAAAATAATCTTAATTATAAAAGTTATTGTTTGAGTGATTATTGCTTTTAAATTTTTTTTATCATTAAAAATCTATAGTCAGACTACAAAAGTAACAGATATCATAATAAAAATTGATTATTCAGAATTAGAATATATAATTAATTAAAATAATCAAGCTCATAAACTTTTACATCTCTCTCTTTGCGGTGATAAGGAAGCAGTTTAGTCAAACGTAAGACCATCGCATTTTTGTTAAATTGAAGAGTCATCTAGTCATGACAATTGGGGAAAAAAAATTTCTGATCATGACAATTGGGATAATGCGTCCAACCAAACCGAGAGATAGAGAACGGGGCCCCCATAAGGGTTAAGACAATACTTCACGAATGTATGATTCTTCAATCAGGTTAAATAGCGCACTTCATCATTTTCAAATGATCCTTTTTTTTTTTTTGTGTGTCTATTTTGCTTAAGTTACTGTATCCTCACTAATATAATAATTCGTATTTTTCCTACTATCGCCTTGGGCGCAGCAATCATCAGGGCTCAAATTATTTGTTTGATATTTGTTATTCAATGTATGATTGCTTTTACAAATGTTTTGGATGGAACGGAATATATCATTCTCGTCATATCTAGCATTATAATCATATTTTTCAATCTATTTTTTTTATATTTTTAATTATCTTTTTATTTCACATACATTACATTACAAAAAGTGGTATAATAATTATTTTAATAGTACTTTATCCAAACACAATCTTTGCGGTGATTTCAAAAACTCGAGTGAATCTGTTTGGATTTATTAGTTTTTAAAAAATTAGTTTTCAAATACTATAAAAATTTTTAAAAAGTATTTTAAAAGGTACTCTAAAAAATAGTTTAAGTTTTTTTTTATGTTTTAAAAAAATCAAAATATATTTTAAAAACTCTACTATTCTTAAATATCCCAAAATATACTCTAAAAACTCTGTTACAATAAAATTTTTCAAAAACATCCCAAAAAACAGTTAATCCAAATGGAGGCATGTAATTTATTCTAATTTTTTGTAGTAGCTTTGGAGTACTTGAATACATTCAATTAGAGGGAATTGTACGTGGGAGAGATGTTTGTAATTTTGACTAAAATTTAATAAAAATATATGATTTATCCCAAAACTTTCTGCAAATGATATTAGTAGTTATGAGGAATTTTCCAAAAGTGTGTTTGGGTAGGAGGTTATTTGAAATAATTACTATAACACTTTTTGTGATGTAATGTATTGTATGTCAGATAAAAAGGTGGTTAAAAATTGTGTTTATGATGGGCCTGTTTGGAATCTGAGTTTTTTGGGAGTTTGTCTAAAACTTTACTGTAGTGCACTGTACAAGTTTTTGAAAAAATTTTGTATAAGTTTTTATAAGGTGAAAATTTTTTTTGTAAGGTGCAAAATTTTGTAGAAATTTTTGTAGAGTGAAAAACTTTTTTTTCCTTTTTTTTTTCTTTTTCTTTCTTTTTCTTTTCTTTCTTTCCTTTTTCTTTTCTTTCTTCTCTTCTCCTTCTTCTTCTTCTTCTTTCTTTCTTTCCTCCCCGTTACCTCCCAGCAGCAGCCACGCTCGCCACCCCTCTCCTCCCTTTCCCCTTCTCCTCCCGCCACCGTGACCTCCTCCCCCCCGCCACCCCCTGTGTGCCCCTTCTCTTCGACCCCCCCCCCCGCCAACCCCTGCCTTTCCCCCCGCCCCCCTGCCCTTTCCTCTGCCAGCATGACCCCCGCCACCCTCTGCCTTTTCCCCAGCTTCTCCCGCCACTCTCCCTCCCCCCGCTCATCCCCTGCCCTTTTCCCAGCTTCTCCCGCCACCTCCCCTGCGCAACCCCCTCCCCTGCCACCCCTCTGCCCTTTCCCCTGCGCGACCCCCTTCTCCCGCCACCTCGCGGACGGCGCTAAAATAGTCCCCAGGTTTCCGGCAAAAAGCATCGAGGAATTTACGGAACTTTGAACGCTTCGTCGAGGAGGATTTGCTCTTCTGCATCCAATTGAATAAGGAAACCATCACGTTGAATTTGATGTCAAATTCCTCCATTCTGGACTTTTTTGCTTTTTCTGGGCTATGATTTTGCTTGTTCGGTTCTTGGGGTTCTATGTTCATTTTTTGTGTTTGAAAATGAAGAATTTAAAAACCGTCTGAAAGGGGGAGGGGGAAGGGGGAAGGGGGCAGGGGAGGCAGAGGGGAAGAGGGGAGGGAAAGAAAAAAAAAACTTTGTGTATGGCCGGAACTGCCCGCCAGAATAGTAACCGGTGCCGGAAGTGGTGGTGGAGGTGGTGGCCGCCGGCGGAGGATGTGGTGGGTTGGGTGGGGGAGGAAAAAGAAAAAAAGTTTGAAGGGAAAGTTTTTTTGTGTATTTTTTGAAGTGTGTAGGTAAAAAGTTTTGAGAAGTTTTTTAAGGTTCCTGTAGCAAAAGTTGTTAAAAAACTAGTAGGTAAAAAACTTGGGCAAAAAACTCACTTCCAAACAGGCCCATGTTAGTAGAATAAAATTTGAATTTTTTCTTTTTTGGGTCCAAATCTTGCTAACCAAACATACCGAATCTCGTTTGTCAAAAAAAAAAAAAAAAACCGAATCTCGCAATTTGCTCTAGTCAAATAAAGCTGGAAAAA